ACACTGCCGGGCGGCAGAATAAGTGCCCTTTGTGCCGCTGGACGCGCTGCCCTTTCTTAGGAAATGGCCCATTGTGCTGCCTGGAGGCTCTGTCCGTATGTGGGTTCCTCCCCAAGCAGGCAAACCCAACGTGCCCAAAGGGACACCTCTCCCTGCTCCCTGCTTGTGCCCACATTCCTTTTCCTGCGATGCTCGTGGCGTTCGGAGCCGCTGTCCCCAGCGTGCCCCAGCATCACACCATCACCCGGTGCACAGCGCAGAGCTGGGGCTGCACCAAGTGGGGCTGAGTCTGGTGCATTTCAGCAGTGCAGGAGATGCTTTCTGCAGGCCCCACAATGTAGCACCTCATGGGGTGTCTGCCAGGAGCAGCCCGGCTCGCCGGCTTCCCGTGACGTTGCTCGGGATTGGGAAATGAAAGGGGCACTGTGCCTCTGCGGAATACCATTACCATTATTTATTGCTGGAATTTGTGTCTCACAGGGGAATTAATTGCTGGCTCTGTTCGTTTGGGTCTCGTTTTGCCAGCCACGCGCTGGGGGGAACGGCCTAGAAATTAAATGTCGTTTGAATATGCAAACTCAGTTCTGAGTTGGTCGACCAAAGCGGGGGAAAAAATGAACTTCAGGCAGAGCTCTTCCTGGAGCTGAGCTGGAGCGTCATAAGCATCAGCTGGCCCAGGGTCTGCGTGGGAGCGGAGGGAATGTGCACATGTACATCTGTGTGTGCACAGCAGGAGCTCAGCATCCTGCAGCCCCACGGAGTGAGCTTGGAGGTGGGTCAGGCACCGGCGTGAGCTGCCCTAGATGGGGATCCATCGGAGCCGATGCCTAGGTGCTGCCATCTGATGGGGTTTTGGGGTGGGAGATCTCGTGGTGATGTTGTCCCTCCTCGGGGTGACACCCGGACACTTGAAATCACAGAGCTATGGCAAAGCAAGCAATGGGTGCTATGCTTTTTTTAGGGTGTCTGCACGGGCCCGGGCCTTTACCTCTGCTTAGCACGTTCCCCCGACTGCTCCCAGCTGTGCGTTGCATCACGGTACAACTGCAGCATGCTGGGACCTGGCCGTGGCTCTGGGTGCCTGCTTGCCTGGTTTTCATTCCCCCTCCCAGGAACGCGCTCTTCTTTGTGCTTGGAGTTTTTCCCTGGCTTCAGGGAAGGGCTGGGGGAAGCAAGGAGAGGTCTGTATGCCAAGCCGTGGCTGCTGCCATCCTCTTTTCCTCCGTGGCGATGCCCCCGAGGTCACTGATAGCCCCGGAGCTCCTGCTTCCTCCTGGGAAATCTGTTTCTTGATAAGGAGAGGCTCATTTGTGCTCGTTCCATCCTTTCCCATTTCTCCTGGAGAAAGCCTGGAGAGGCTGCACAGAGGCAATGAGTCCCCAAGTGTTTGCACGGGGAGTGCCAAATGCAGAGGATGCTGCAGCCCCTGGTAGCCTAGGGATGAATGGGTGGGATTGCTGCTTGCCAGCTGCAGTGAGGGTAAAAGAGCTGTCCTGCTCTGTGACTTGGTTGTGCTTTAGAAGAAGGAATCCCTGCTGGTTGTGACCACAGGAGCTCATGCTGGGTGCTTCTGGCCCTGCACCTCTGTGTGTGACAGACTCGTTTTTTGGTGGCACGTGGTGTGTTGTCCTTTATTCACGTGTTTAATTTTCACCTCTTTTATCGGTTGGCTGAAGCTGTGTGGCAGTGTGTTGGAAGATGGGGGGTGATGGAGGTGGGATGCAGCCTGAGCCAGGCTTGATGTGATGGTGGAAGAGCTTTGAGCCTTCCAGCAAAACCCCCATGCATCCCAGGAGCATCTGTGGTCCTGGATTTACCACCAAGCCCCTGAATGATGGGCAGTGGCTGAGCAACGTCCTCCCCATGGCAGCCCCTGAGCCCACAGTGGGGCAGCTCCCATATGAGGCTGTGGGCTGAGCTGCTGTTCCATCGGCCTGGGTGCCTCTTCCTGAGCTGAGCCCAAAATATCTCCTACCTGCATTGTTCCCGTGTGGGGGATTAGTGCTGATTGCTCCCCATTGTCTGCAGTTCCTGCAGGAAGCCCTGTTTATCTTACCCTCTTGGCCAGGAATGCAGCCCCACGCAGGCAGCACGGATATAACTAAACTTAGACAGAGCTGTACAATGGCCTTTGGATTTCCCAACTCCGTGGCATCTGTCACATCCTGGCGTTGTGGCTTTGGGGCTTCGGATGGGGCTGAGTTGTATGGCCACCAATTAGCAGGGCACAAGGGTATTGCATAGGGGAGGTCTGAGCAGCCCTTCTCCTGCTTGCAGTGCCTTTGTGAGCGTGTGCCAGGCACTGAATAGGGGTAAAGCAGTGCTCAGAGCTGGGCACGTGTTGGGGCTCATTTTGGGATGCACCATAGGGACAGCTGTGAGCTGATGGTGGTGTGTGGGGTGGGCAGGAGGAGCCCCTTGCTGGGGCCTGGGCTGTCCCCTGTCCCTTCTTCTAGTTGGAGAGCTGCTGCTTCCTGTTGGAAATAATAAAGCACAGCAAATAGAGCAGTGAGAAACTCGGAGGAGGAGCTCTGAGGGGGTCTGAGGCTGCATGGTGTCCCAGTACAGCATGGGGAAACACATGCAAGCTGGCCAGTGCTCTTTAGGAGCAATCTGTCTTAAGGATGCCCCACAGTGAGGGCTCCTTCAGTTCATGCAGGGTCTGAGGGTCCTGGGGAGCCTGGCTGGCTCTATGCTGCACTGTGTTGGCTTGTAGCAGCTGGATGCAAACATCATCTGTGCTGGGAGACACACAGGAACCCCAAGCTTTGCATCTGGCTCAGTAGGGGAGCTGAGCTTCCGTGGGGCGGCTGCACAGCTGTGTGTCTCTGCACCCCACACATCTCCATGCAGCATCCATCCCTGGGATGAGAGCTTGCAGCCGTGCCCTCCCCTTGTCCTTGCAGAGCCGGAGCCCTCTGGCTGCTTGCGAGGCTGCAGTGCAGCTCCAGCTGCATTGCTGCTCATGTGGGGCTGTGTGCTGTGCCCCTGTGCCAGCCCTGTGTGCTGGGATCCTCCTGCTGGGGTCTGGTCAGGTGGATTTCTTGCTGGTAGGGTCCGGTGTTTCCACCAGGCTGAGCTTTAATTAAAGTGCTGAGAAAGCCAGAGGGATTTGGCTCCCAGGGCGGCTGGGTGCGCTGGGCTGTGAAGGGGAATGGCAGAGAGTGGAGATGGAAGGAGAATAAACGGCTCTGGGATGGGCAGTGGGGGGACATGCACAGCTCCATTTGCTGTGGTTGCTGGCAGGATGTGCACGGATCCCAAATAGCACACTATGGGGCTGGAACCCGGTGCTGGGTCTGCACAGATCCCAAATAATGCATTATGGGGCTGGCACCTGGTGCTGGGTCTGTGCTGATCCCAAATAGCACACTATGGGGCCGGCACCTGGTGCTGACTCATAGAGCTGCTTGATGAATGGAGATGTGTTATGGGGTTGGAAAGTGTGAGAAAAGGGGGAAATCATAAAGAAGGCACCTGTGGAAGGATGGGAGCCGTGCACAGTGGGGATGGGCTCCTCCAGTACCACCGTGTTGGCCCCTGGGTGTCGTGTGGGTTGGTGTATTGGGAAAACTCCCCTTGCTGGGATGGGGGAATGAAGCACAGCACCCACCTGAGAGGTGGTGGTGCAGGGCCTGGCATTGCTGGGAGCAGCATTTGGGAGGAGGGGGTGATGTGCCACCAAAATTAGGGAGCGAGGATGAGCCTGACTGCCGTGGGGCTGGGAGAGAACGTGGGGCTGAGGGCGGCCGTGGGGCTGGCTGGGGGTGTTGCTTTTCCTATGGTTTTCTTCCCAGCTCCTTTTTCCAAAGACAACGAAAAGCGCAAAGACGACGGCTGCCCGCGTTTCCTATCCTGCTGTCACGGAGCCAATTAAGGAAAGGGTTGCCATATTTTTATAACTTTTTTTTTTTTTTTTTAAGACATAAGGGTGGAACAACGCGGTGTATTTTGTAAGGCTCGTTCTTGGAAACGGCGGAGCCCTTCTGGCTGCAGTTATTTCCTTGGGGGGAGAAAAGAAAGAAGAAAAGGAAAGGGGGGTGAGGGGAGAATAAAAGGGAAACTCATGGTTGATGGGGCTGAGCTCCCCACCTGTGAGCTCTGGAGAGCTGCCCTGGAGGGGAGGGGAGTGGTTTTGCAGTGTGGAGCACAGAGCTGTCCCTGGGGATGTGCAGAGCTCCCTGGTGTGGGGAATGGGGGGACCTGACAGAGCTGATGGGGTGCTTTAGTGATCCTCAGTGCAGTTCTCTGCTGCATCCCATGGGGCTGGTGATGCACTGGGCTGTGGATGCTGCTGGTGAGCCAGGCTGGGTGCAGACATGGAGCAGTTGGGGTTCTGCTGTGCTTCCCCTGGCCCTGAGCTGCTGCTTTCCTTGTCTGCCTGCTGGGAAGCAGAGGGGAGGATGCACAGAGCAGCACGTGGGGATGTGTGACAGAGTGCTGAGCAGCCAGCGCGCGTGGGGAGGATGCTGCCCGTCTGCTTTTCTCTCCTGCTTAATTTCAGGGCTGTTTGCAGGCACTCACATCCCAGCCCAGCTGCTCAGTGCTCCTCTATGGCCCGGCTGACCCTTGGACACAATGCCGTGCTGTTTGTAAACCCCCGTTCCCTCCTCAAGTTGTTTTTATTGTTAGGGAGTTAATGACTATCAACAAAGCAGATTTTAATCTGATCGGTTTTTTCCTCGTCCCGAACATCAAAGAGAACATCAAAGTGTGCAGCATGAAAGGCTCCGGAGCGCCTGATGCACGCAGGTGCAGCACCCACTCTGCAGGGCAGCACGGTGTGCAGGGCTCCCTGCTGTCTAAAGGATGCAGTCCTGGAGGAAAACAAAGGTTAATGTGTGAATGGCCGACAGGGCAAAGCAAAAAAGGAGCTTTGCATCCTCTCAGCTGAGAGGGTGCTGCGCTCTGCCCCGAGCATCGCAGCAAAGCAGGGAGTGAGCTCCGTCTCCCAGGAGGTTTGTGGCAACGTGGAACCTGCGGTAAGATTGTTGCAGCGTTTGTGATGCACAAACAGAACGTTGCTTAATATCGTGAGCCCCCTGAGCCGGAGCGGGGAGGAGCTTGAGCTGCGTGGGGCAGTGAGGACGGGCAGAGCGCTGATGTTTGCCGTTGGGAAGCGCTTGGAGGGCAGGCAGAGCTGTGAGTTAACGGGAGGGGTTGCAGAGAGGTGGGAGGTGCTGCTTGCCCTGGTGAGCTGGCGTGGGGCTGCAGATTGCAGCTGGGACCTGTGAGCTCCTGGGTGATGTCTGCCTTCTTTCCTGGGGTAGAGGTGAGCAAAGAGAAGGCAAGCAGTGGGTCCAGAGGGGGGCACGACGTGCAGCTTCTCCTGGGTAGTTTCTTCCTGAACTTGTGGACTGAATTGGAAAGCAAAAGCTGGAAGCTTTTGAGGGCTCCTGGAGGGGTGGGTTTGGGGCTCCACGCACGCCCTTTGGGTACCAGCACTGACATCCCATGGGCAGATTCCCTCACAGCTGTCCCCCACACCACAAATTTCAGCGAGACCCCCTCCCCCCCATCCTGCCCTTTCTCTCCATCCTTGGCTGCAGTTTGCATTTTCCACCGTGGAGCATCCCCAGCAGCCGCAGTGCGGGGCTCCCCCAGCCTCTTCCCACCTAATTAAACGCTGCCTCTCATTTGCAGGAGATGTTTCCGGGCTGGTGCCGAGCCTGTGCACTCACATGCTAATTCTGAGCAGGCTCCTCCAGCAGCGTGTTCCTGCACCGCAGGGAAGCAGCGGGGCTGGCTAATTGATTGCAGTTTCGCTAGTGGCACGGGCTGCTCGCCTCTAATCCAGAGCAGACCCGGAGGAAGCCCACCGCCGTGCCCCTCCTCGTTAATTAGTCCTTGCTACCGCACACAGCCGTGCCGAAGCTGGAGGAAAGCATGCGGTTTCTCTTGTTAGCACCCGGCGGGCTGTTATTCTCTTCCACGTGCAAGCTTGCATTTTGGGGACACTCAGGCAGTGGCTTGAAAGGAGCTCACTGCAAGCCTGGAGCTGGTTTTCCCCCAGCTGGAGCTGATTTGGGCATCATTGGTTTGAGGACAGCTGAGGGCTGGGAGCGTGCAGCCTGTAATTTGGCTGCTCTTCCTTCCCTGCTCCTAAAAGTGGGCAGCTGGGAGAGAGCTGGGAGCGTTGGACCTCAGGAACCCCTTTGCTCAGTTTCTGGGATGCAGTTCATCTCTTCCCCCTCACCGAAATGAGGAGGGGCTGTGCAGCCACCAAGGAGGGGACTCATGGCCTGGCTTTGCCCTTGCAAGTGTGGGAAAGCAGCACGGCCCCTGGTTGCTCTCTTTTGGCAGCGTGGAATCGTGTGGTTTCTCCCATTTTTGTTCTTGGCTGCACTGTCTGAGTTGTCCTTCCTGGCTGGGGTGGAAAGTGATGGAGAGGCCCCTCCTCGTGCTCCCAGTGCATCTCCCATCCTGCAGAATTCCCTCACACTGGCACCACTTGGGGGCTGGACTGAGCAGCATTGGGATGCAAAGGATCACAGAATTGCTCAGGTTGGAAGAGCCTTCTCAGCTCCCCAACCCACTGTGCCCACCCCCATATCCCTCAGTGCCAAATCCCCACAGCTCTGGGACACCTCTGTGTGACCCCACCACTCCCTGGGCAGCTGTGCTGCGCATCACTGCTCTTTGGAGTTTTTCTTCATCCCCAGCCTGACCATCTCCTGGAGCAACTTAATGCCATCACCTCTCATCCTATCATAGCTATCTGGGAACATCAACTATGAGACTGACACCTCTGGGTGACCCCAATGCTCCCTGCGCAGTTGTGCTGTGCATCATCGCTCTTTCAGGAAAGAATTTTTTCCTAAAGAGCCACAAAGCTGTGCAGATCCAGGTGCTGGTGACCTCCCGGTGGGAAGGAGCTGCCCAGCTTTGTTTCTCACACCCAACCTCTGCTCTCCCCCCGGCAGGTCACAGACCAGCTTCCCGGGGTTTTGACGCTGGATTGGGATCGTTTTAACTAAAGATGGAAACACTGGAGTCCGAATTGACCTGCCCAATCTGTCTGGAGTTATTCGAAGATCCTCTGCTTCTGCCCTGCGCCCACAGCCTGTGCTTCAGCTGCGCCCACCGCATCCTGCTGTCCGGCTGCTCCTCCGGCGAGAGCATCGAGCCCCTCAACGCCTTCCAGTGCCCCACCTGCCGCTATGTCATCTCCCTCAACCACCGTGGCCTGGAGGGCCTCAAGAGGAATGTGACGCTGCAAAACATCATCGACCGCTTCCAGAAGGCGTCGCTCAGCGGCCCCAACTCCCCCACCGAGAGCCGCCGCGATCGGCCCTACCGCCCCAACCCCAGCATGTCGGTGGGCGGCGAGAGGATCGCCTGCCAGTTCTGTGAGCAGGACCCGCCGAGGGATGCTGTCAAGACGTGCATCACCTGCGAGGTGTCCTACTGTGACCGCTGCCTGCGGGCCACGCACCCCAACAAGAAGCCCTTCACCAGCCACCGACTGGTGGAACCCGTGCCCGACGCGCACTTCCGAGGTCTCACCTGCCTGGAGCATGAGAACGAGAAGGTGAACATGTACTGCGTGGCTGACGACCAGCTCATCTGTGCCTTATGTAAACTGGTGGGGCGGCACCGGGATCACCAAGTGGCGTCGCTCAGCGATCGCTTCGAGAAGCTCAAGGTAAGGGTATGTGGTGGCTGGGGTGTGTTGGGGACCCGCGTGGCGTCTCTGAGGTGGGGGTTTGGAGCTTTTGGGCTCCTCCAGGTTCTGCGTTTCCAGGGTTGCTTTGCTGGTGAGATGCTCTGCTGCTCATTGGCTTCCTTGGATGTGGATGGAGAGAGTGGGGAGCGTGCCTGTGCTCAGCAAATGGCTCGGAAATAGAAGTGCTCTGTTGGCATCGCTGGCCTGAAAAGGGATGTGGCTTAGCAGCAGGTTCCCACAACAAAACTTCATGCTTAGATGAGAGATGAGATGGAGCTGAGGGGATCCTCACTGCAAGAAAGACACTGAGGCACTGGTGTGTGCCCAGAGAAGGGCAAGGAGCTGCGAGGGTCTGGAGCACCAGCCCTATGGGGAGTGGCTGAGGGAGCTGGGATCATTCAGTTTGGAGAAGAGGGGGCTTGGGAGAGAGCTTGTGGTGCGCTCCATCTCCCCAGAAGGAGGTTGTGGTGATGTGTGGTCGGTCTCATAGTTGTTGTTCCCAGATAGCTATGATAGAATGAGAGGTGATGGCGTTAAGTTACTCCAGGAAATGGTCAGGTTGGGTGTTAGGAAAAACTCCAAAGAGCAGTGATGCACAACTGCCCAGGGAGTGGTGGGGTCACCCAGAGGTGTCCCAGAGCCATGGGGATGTGGCACTGAGGGATGTGGGAATGGGCATGGTGGGGTGGGCTGGGACTTGATGGCTTGGACTTCGTGATTTCAAGCTCTTTTCTGACCTGAATAATTTTGTGATTGAGGCAGAAGGAGGCAGGGATGGAGCTTTCCCTCTCCTGCCCCTGCACCCCAAACTGCTCCTCTGTCCTTCAGCATCCTGTAGGACATCTGGCAGTGAGCAGTGCCACCTCCAGCGCAGCGTTGTCCCATCCTCATACCCACGGGCTGCAGAAAGGAGCAGTGGTTTTCCAGCCCTCCTCACTTCACCCTGTGCCTCGTATCGATCCACAGTGAATCCCTGCTTCCCTGCTCACAGAGAGCAAACTTCAGGCAGCCCTCTGGGGTGCTGCGAGCTTCATTTCTATGCAGCGCCTGTGCTGGGGCTGGATACCATGTGAACCCGTGTGGATGATGTTTGACCTATATAAAGTTAGAAATCCCTCTCTGTCCCCCACGCGTTCTCTGTGAGTCTACAAAATGGCCTAAATTCTCTCTCTTTTTTTTAATATTAAAAAAACAGAGCTGGTCCCATCCGGGGTCACAATGATGGGGCTGCGGTTGCGTTGCAGTTGCAGCCCTTCTCCAGCACTTCTTCCTCAGTCCCTTCTCCCATCGTGTTCTGGGCTTGTGCTGCCCCAGAAGTGCTTTTCTTGGCTCATTCCCTCGTTAATCCCTCAGACAACATCGATTTTTCTGCTCTCGCGTTTCCTGAGGGCAGAAGAAATACTTCCATCACTTGCAAAAATGGAGATGACTTCTTCTGTGCGCCCTGGTTTGATTAGAAAAGGGAAGAACAAAGCTTTCTCTCCAGGCATCCGTCTTCCTAGATGGAGAGTTTCCCACGAGCTGCTTCCCAGGCAGGTTTCCCACCTGCCCTTCCCAGAACCTCCCAGCTCTGTGCTGGTGACACAGCCCCTCGATGTGCCTCACCTCCGTGTCCCCCCTCTCAGCGCCAGCGCAGCGTTCCTCGCTTCAGAACATTCTTTTTCCATGAGGAAACGTCTCAATTAGCAAATTGGAAACCTTAGAAAGGAAGGTCCGTGGATGTTTGCGTGCAATAGAACCCTGGGACAGGAGTTAAAGCCCTTTTAATATTTCCCCATCGTGTCGGCGAGCCAAGCAGGCTCATGTGAAGGCAAAAGCCCTGACAAGCTAAGCTGCCGCTCCAACCAAATCTGTGCACGTTGCCAGAACACCCCCCCATCCGTGTTTAAATAACAATCTTAAGTGATTTTGGATGAGGAGGGAAGCTCTCCTCTGCTATAAACATTCCCCTGTGCTGCTCATCCAGCATGGGTGGATTCCTCTCTCCCTGGCAGAGAAGCAGCTCTGCTGGCACGGTGCTCCAGCAGCCTCCCGTTCCCCCTTTCCCTCTCGCAGGTGGGAACTGCCCAGGTGAGGAGTGTTTGGGGATGGATACGGGATGTGAGCATCCAGCCAGGGCTGCAGGATGACTCCAGGGTAATCCTTCCTCCAGCAGAAAGTTTCCTTCCCTAAGGCAGGCTGGTGAATCGCTGCTTTACCCCTTGCAACGCGAGGAGGGAATGGAAGAACTGCATTTTGAAATGCAAAGCTGCATCTCTGCCTGCTCAGCCGAGCTAAGAGGGATGAAGGTTTTGCTGCCTGTGTGAATGCCAAATGAACTGCAGTGCAAGCTCCGTCCACGCAGGCAGAAATGCCTCATCCGAGTTGCACTCTGCTGGGGCCTCAGATAAATCTCGGAGTGTAATGGACTGCAAAGCATGGAAAATCAAACTGTGCTGACCAGTGCTTCTGCGTGGCTTTAAGCACGCTGGCACTCAGTGGTTGGTTTTGAAAACTAAGCGATGCGTGGTGGAAACTTCTTCCTTTTGTTGCTCTTTGCTCTGTAGCTGCTGCAGGGCTCTGGTTGACATGGCATGGCTGCAGTGTGGTTATCAGTGCGCAGCCCCTGGCTGGGCAGCAGCTGTGCTTTTCTTGTGCTCTTCTTTGGGTGCCTTGTCCAACACCATGGGATCGATCCTGAGCCAAGCTTTGGCACCGCAGTCAATCTTTGCAGCTGCCTTTAGTCCTCATCTGCTCACAGCCTCAGTCTATAGCTCTGACCGTGGTTGGGCCCATTGCTTTTTATGGAAATGCTTGTGATCCTCTGCCCACCCGATGCTCTGCAGCCCCACAGGAGCTGCCCTGCAGCCCGGCTGCCCACAGCTTTCATCGTGCTGCTCCAGCCAGCAATGCCTTCCAGATTTATTATTACTATTATTGCATGATGGAAACTTGGAGCAAGTGACTATAATTTGTCCAAAGCACCGTGCATTCTGCAGACCTCTTTGGTGGGGGTTCTTCGTTGGATCCCAAAACACTGCAGTTCTGCATGCTGAAGCCAGGACCTGGGCATCTCCAAAATGCCCACGTGCCACTGAAAGGCATTTTAGGACCCCCTTCTACTCCCTTTAAGGTGTGTTCTGTTTCTATTACTCCATGCATCCCCAACTCTGCATGTTTACACCACACTCCTTGCCCAAGGCGCGTTGCTTTCAGGTGCTGTTCTTGCTCCACCAGTTTGTGGAAGGCATCTCTCTGCCCTGCCTCCTCCTGCAGCTCTCCCTGCACACAGCTCTGCTCCCAGCAGATGGGCAGCACTGCACACATGGGATGCTGTGAGTGGCCCAAACCTGCAGCTCACTGCTGACTTTCCCCATGGTAGGGGTGGGAGCAGCCCACCTGCTCACCTCACCAGCTGTAAAATCAGCACTAAAAATGAAATTAAAAGCAGGGTTGGGGAGGTGACAGCATGCAGGGTTTGCTGTGTGAGCTCTGGAGGCTCTACAGCAGAAGGAGTTTGCAGGAAAAGGGGTTTTGTGCCCTCAGTAATGCACTGCTTTGCTTCTCCTTCTGCCCCGCTCCTTTTGCAGGAGCCGGGTTGGGTGCAGCTCTCATTGCTGCTGCTGAGATTTCTATCGATCGACGTGCTGGAAATAGCCCCAAAAATTCAAATAAAGTAACGCTTTCATTCCTGCTCTTTGCTCCAAGAGGAGCAGTAAGCCATCTCCCACCATGCTTTGTGCCTCCGCTGCTTTATGAGCGTGACTGAAGCTGGATGTACTGAATAAGTCCCTGTGCTGCACAACTGGTGTGCAGGGCAGTGATGGGCACCACGGGGCCCTTCAGAAGGGCGGTGGGATGGGAAGAATGAGGGCAAGGAGCCTCTGCTTGATGCTGAGCGTGGGGCTTCTGTGCCTGGGGACTGAGGGACGTGTTCTCGCTTGCACGGTGTGACTCACTGAGATTGCTGCTTCATTATGATTTACTGTACTGCCATGGGGCTAAACTGCATTTTGTGTGTGTGTGGTTTTGTTTTTTAATTTTCCTTTTCCCACACGCGTACAGGAGCTGAGAGCAGGGTCATTGCTGGCACTGCTGTGAGTCGTAGCAGAGCGCAGGAGGATGTCAGTGGCACAGATGCATGAGCTCTGGTGCATCCGGGCTGCTCCCACAGAGGCAGCTCTGCTTGAGCTGCTTCTCTCCAGGTCCAGGCTGGAGATGGAGATGCAAAGCCTTGCGATTGGCTTTTTTGGCGTGTGAGATGCTAGAGTGATTTCTTGGTGTGATGAAGATGCGGGTTTAGGATCTCCCTTCAGCAAATGGTCATTTCCCATTGCATCCATCTGCGGCACCTGCATCCATGCCAGTGTGTGTTGCTTGGATTTGCCAAAAACACCCACGTGATGTGTGCTGCAGGCACGTGCTTACCCATGGAGCATGGCTTGCATGAAGATGCAAAGCTTTCCTGGCCTCTTTACCCTGCAAATGGGAAAAGGGATCAGTGCGTGCCCTCGTGTCTGGTGTAGCTCCCAGTCTGCAGCAATGGTTGCTCTTTCTCTGATCCTCTGTGGGTCAGAAGGACGAGGAATCGGCACTGAGTGCTGGATGCCTTGATTTCCCTCCAGAGATCCCTTTTATGGGCAGGGGGTTGGATTTTTTTAGTGAGTTATTGTGAATGAAATGAGTGAAAGAGTGGTCAGGCAGTGGAATGGGCTGCCCAGGGTGGTGGTGGAGTCACCGACCCTGGAGGTGTTCAAGGAATGTTTGGATGTTGTGTTGAGGGATATGGCTTAGTGAGAACTATTGGTGATGGGTGGGTGGTTGGACTGGGTGATCTTGTAGGTCTTTTCCAACCTTGGTGTTTCTGTGATTCTGTGATTAATGCTCCTTCCCTGGAAGCACTCAAGGCCAGGCTGGGTGCATGGGGCTGTGAGCAATGGCAATTAGTTGTGTGGGAGCAGGATGAGAGGTGATGGCCGTAAGTTGCACCGTGGAAGGGT